TAAATATATTATAATTTATACGCAAAATTTTTAACTTACGGATTAACTCTCACTTGCCCGTCTATTATTGTAATTATTTTAATTGTTTAATGTGTGAATATATTTCACATATACGTAAGAAGATAATTCCTTTCATTCCTTTTACAGCTCCCAAGCAACAATTCGACATTTTTGAACTTCCGAAATAAAAAATCTAAAAGTTCCATATATATGTCGCTGCATGACGTCTAAAATATATCATAGGACATTATTAGATAGAACATCCCCATATTAAAATTATTTACACAAACATTTTAGAAATGTTCCAGGTATGTATACGTTATCAATATATCCAATTTTAAACAGCACGTAATATTGCCTATAGGGATACAGCAAAGTTTCATTACTCGTATTTAAAAAAAACTTACATTGAATAAGGGTAAAAGACGCAATATGATGAGATTTTTTAATTAAAAAGTTTTTACACTTTTTGTTGATAAAATAATGATGAGATAATGCTTTGAAAAGGTGTGTCTTCATAATTGGGCTCCAAAATAAAAAAATTAACAAAAGTTTTTTGATGAAAAGTTTCTTGAATCTTGCTGACAATAACTGTTTGGTAGTGATGAAGGATATATGCTAGCAGTACCTATACTTCAAATCGATACATACCGTCCAGCAATCCACAACATGTAACTTAATTCAAAGCTGGGTATGTATTTAAAATAATTTTATTTAAAAAACAGTGTTTGTAAAACAATTATTGTATTTTGTATTATGCATTATGTATTTTTTTGTATTATCATTTTAACGGAACATATTCAAATATTCTGTATTTTGTATTTTATGGGAATAAATAAAAGTATTTTGTATTTTGTATTTCAAATAATACTAAGATTGATACTCAATAATATTATTTAAATTACGAAGTATAAAAAGCTCACTTTTTTTTTATTTTAAATACGTAATACTTTTGTGTACTCCGCTGAAATACAAAATATAAAATATAGGCACTTGTATTGCAAAAACTGTGTTTTAAATAAAAGTATTTCACATACATACCCAGCCTCATATATACATAGATGCTGTAGAAATATCAATATTTAAGATGGAAAATATCGATGTTGTTAATTGATACTGTATCGCTACTGCTCGATGTGGTTCTCTTTCTAAAAAAATTATATACTTGTATAACGAAAAAAGAATATTTTTAAAATTAATTCTTTGTACTATTGATGATTGGACGTACTAACGTCTACTTGACGGTCTTATTATGCGTATATATAAAAGATGTCTACTGAATATGTCTGTGAGGACATACTTGGTACGTTCATGTATGACAAACGCGACGTCATTTGAACGTTTATACGTATTTTTGCATGGATTGTACTTTCTGAAATGGTTTCTCTTGTATAGCGTTCTATCTCGCTGCTTTTATTCCTCACGAAGCAATCTAACTGTGTACTGCACTGAAACCTTTTCGGAATTTTTTAAATCATTTTTCCTGAATCTTTACATTCCTCTTTCATCAGTCCTTTCGCTGCAAATGTCATATATAGGGCGTGTATGTTGGGCTAACGTTAAGAGTTCTGTAGTGAAAGGAAACGAGATTTTAAGTGAATAATTAAGTAACTTTTATTGTTGCAATAGAAATTTTTTTGCATGCTTTTATTATAATGTTAAATTTTATTTCTTTATTTAGTATTTCCATGTACTTTCTTTATACATTTATATATAATTATAATATATTTATGTACTTTCTTAATACATTTTCTATATATATTATATAGAAATACATAAAACAAAACTTATTAGACTTAACACATATCGACTTTCCAATGATACTGATATTAATGAAAGGACGATTGCAAATAGCGATTTATAAGTACAATCGCGTAGTTATTAAAAAATTGGTCGATTCTTTTCATTCTTTTAATCAATGTTATGTATTAGTTCCTCAATAACCGAAAGACGTTGTGGAGCGTTCGATCATCTTTAAGATTTTTTATCGGGAATAACCCAGGTATACAATTTTAATTATATGCAGTAATTAAATCATAAATGATATTATAAGACGTCATCATAATGTTATAAGATATCATTACATATCACTTAAAAATAAATTTATATTATAGGTTATAGGTTATTAAATAAGATTATGTAATGTGATCTTTATAATATATAATTATGACTTCTGTGTCATATTCAGAATTTTTAATCTACATAAGATTAATATGTTATATAATGCATAAGATATGTATCTATATAAGAATTAAGAGCGCGCGGAAACGCGCTATGCAAGAATTCAATCGTAGTTGATGAAAAGTGAGGAAAAATCTTTAGTGAGCACTAAAAAAAAAAAAAACTTCTTAACACGAATGATAATAAGAATTGAAGGTAAAATTGAAGGTACGAAGGGCACATTTCAGGGGACAATCCCGAGAAGAAATATATACGCCTAACGTAAAAGATAATCGCCTACCATACTCGGCGCGTTTCTATTCATGCGATCGAGAGACACTTCTCGCTTTATTCTCGTTTCTTCTCTCGTGTGTGTATAGCTGATTTAAAAGACTTCTCCTTCTTCAGTTGCCGTTCGCCAACGCGATGGTATCATACCATCGTCGCGCCGCTCTGCGCCGCGATCGTTCCCCGTCTTCGCGTGCGCGCATGTGTGTCTTTCGTACCGTCGATTTTTCGTGATCACGGTGCTCCAGATCGCGGTTCTTTGTACGCGTGAGGTGAAAGTGAGAACGGGTCAGATGGATCCTTAATATATGCTGAATCGGTTTTGTCTACGCGCTTGTACTACGAGCAAGTATGACGGATTGAATCGACATGTACGATTAATGTTTGTTATACGTTCGCGCGTAAAGTGAATTTTACAAAGTTAATATCAGGTAAGATTAACATTTCGTTTACAGATGCGCGAGAATTACAGTTTATTCTATGTTTACTTTGTGTCTTCGCGTTCGTTTACGTACTCACTTACACATAGATTAAATAATTGTAACTACGGTGCTGTATATATGCAGAAAATGTCTTTCGTAATCGGCCGTGATTCTTGGGCGCAGCATAAAAAAACCATACTTGCGTATGGATGAAAAATGTCGTACTTATACTGAAGCACGTGGCACACTAAACCCGACTTTTTCAGATTAATTGATGGTTCGATATTTTACGAGATATATTGTGAAGACGGACAAGTCTCGATGACACGAGTTATTTATAGTTTACAAACCAATTACAGCTAATACTTTCTTTCCGCACTTTTTTCTCTTTTTCTCTTTTTCTCTTTTTATTCTGTTATGCATTTAAGTTGTTCAATATGAGAGAAATATTTATTATCGTAATCCTCCGTAATTTAATTTATATTAAGGAAGGAAAGAGATTGTTACAGAATTATTATAGAGATTATTTTCATTTTATGCAAGTCTTGAACATTTATTTCGCAAAAAATAGAGAGTGTTTCGCGACGAAATCGTAATACAGATAGGATGGTCCTGCTTTTACATTTAGTGAAAATTGTTTTGCATATTCGACTGGAAAGACAGTAATTCAGTAGGCGAAAGTGACGAACGACCCAAACTCGTTTGACTTTCCAATAAATTTCGTCGGTCCAGCATCGCATTACAATCGCTTTTTTTTTCCTTAGCTTTCAACGTTTTCTGCATTGTAATAGACATTCATTTACTCTCCTTTTAATATAAGGCAGTATAAGTCTGTTTACGTTGCTTGCACTTTTTGCACTCATATATAATATTCAGTTTCTCTCTTCCACACCCAAATATACATTTAAGTGCACTCGTTTAAGTGCAAAATTTTTTAAGGATTATTTAGCAACATGAACAAACTTAGTCTTATATATCGAGATAAAAAAGAGCAAAAATATAAATTACGTAGAAACTGAACTTAGTAGGTATATGATTGTAATTCTTACTTTTTTGTTTTATTCGTAAATCACATTATACGTTTTAATCGTCGGACAATTTTCGATCATTCAGATGATACGCACTAAATGATAACAATTCATCGCAGATTATTCAGCGACAGATTAGATGCGCTTTTTAGCTCACTTACTTTATATGCATTACGATTTCCATTTTGCGATAAATTTCGATAAGTTTCGATTTATGCAATCGCCTTTTATGTCTCAACGTTTGTGTATCTCACCACTTGATCCGGGACGTGGAGCACTTTCTAAGGACGCATGACTCAACGAATGATATAGTTCGTTATTCTCCCTTCGTACAGGCAGATATCGTACTCGAGAACGTGATCGTGATTCAAGTTAACGATTACCACGGATTTCTCCTTGAAACAATAAACGATGTAGACAATCAGTTGTGAAATAATTATATACTATAATTTTATTCACATTTTTTTAACAGTAATACCGACATTAGGATTAAGATTTTATTAGATTGACGCAATAATGAACTTGGTATAATGATACAATTTCATCGATGAAAGTAATCCTTTATTCGCGTGAATCTTCCTTTTACTGATTTGATACAATATTATACGACTTCTTCAATTTTCAGTTTAACTTCAATTGCACGTGTTCACGAGAAATGTAAAGGAACTAGTAGTCTTGATCAATCGACATCCAGATCCTTTCTTCGATTTATCATGCAACAGCATCTGAATTAATGACTGAAAAAGAGATAGGTCGGTCCCGCCCATATAAAGTGATTTAAACATAGTGAATGTACAACCGGCGCAACCAGGAAGCGGAAATGTTCAACATGATCGCGACGATGAGAGTGTCCTTATTCCGCTCAATTTTAATCCCCTCGTGATACACCAGTTCTTGGATCTTAGCGCTACCTTACAAAGTCATCAGTATTTCGATTATGATCTCTACAGTGAGGAAACGTGCCTGGTCCTATTCTAAATCGAGTTAACTGTCGCCTAAGGTGGCACCACGAGGTCATTCAAAAGAAGTTTAATCGCAAGCGAAAAACAAATTTGGATTTCAAAGTGTATTTGGGAGAATCCCTCCGAATGCAAAAAAAAAAATGGCGTTGGTGAATTTTAGTTTGCCCTATCAATCGGTTACGATGGCACCGTTTCTTTACGCGGGCTCAACCGGAGGCTACACGACCGCCAACAGTCTTCGTTTGAACACCGTGTTACCATCGGGATCTATGATCGGTTATGATGAACGGCAAAACTTTCGTAACGAGCCGATTCGTACTTCACCGATCAAGTACCATCAACGTAGTCAATCTGCGCAGCAGAGGAATCATGAGATTTATACGGAACACACGTCCTTTTCGACACAAAATACCCATTACTCTGAGTATAATCAAGACTTTAGAAGAACGCAACCGAGGCAGCAACAACAGCAACAGGTGAGACCGCCGCTTGCCTCATCATTTCAGTATCAGCAATCGCCTGAACACATCAAAACTCGGATAGAAGAGCAACAAAATTATCCAGAAAGACCTATCAGGTAAATGGAACATTTTTTTCCTTTTCTTTTTTTGTTCTTCTATTGTACCTCTCTTGATACAACTTTAACCAATAATAATATATCGTTTACGGTATCTTTTATTTAAATTGATGCCCAATTAAATATTCCTGAAATATTCATAAAATATTTTTAAATAATACTTCAAGAGTATTCCGGAATATCCCGAAATATTTTCAGAATATAAGTGCAATATTAAAATAATCATTAAATATTTCATTTTTATACATACATTGTTACATTTATACATACATTTAAATATACGAAGAAGGTTTCGTATATATTTTGCAAAATTATAATTTTCTCAGAAATTTTAAATCCGGGGAAGTCCTTGAATAAATTTTTTAATAAAATTATGTAATTATATTGTTAGAAACACGTTTCTCCTTTATTTTTTTATTAAAACCAAATTTTGGCTTTACTCGAACTTATTTTAAGCGAAATACGCTCTTCATCTTCTTTTCTATGTAATTTTTATTTACGAATTTATACATCTCCATCACGATCCTCTTTTAGTTAGTGGAGATTTTATTCGATTCGATTCAACCTTTCAACTTCTTGATTCGCACATCTCTACGAAAGAGTAAAACAGTGATATTATGTTTATGTATGAATTTCTCTTTTTCTCTCTTTTACGATGCAATGCGTGATGCGCTCAATGAAAATGAGGCTTTATTATTAATCAATAGTTCCAAAATGCAATATCTTGAAATTAATAAATATGTTTCAAGGACCCTTCAAAAAACTAATTTTCTTGAACCAAATAATTTTTTTTTTTTTTTCAAATAAATTTCTTTCTTAAATACACATACAGTAACTCTTTGTAAATGATTAAACGACACTGCTATTGATATCCTGTTTAATTCATCCAAAGTTACACAAGTGTCAATAGTGGAAGCTCCAGCGGTCCAGGTACTAAGACTTCGGTCCACGCCGTATTGGATTACGACGACGACTTCGATGATTACTATGATGACGAAGATCATGACATACCGATAAATACGCATGTCACGCCTATCCAGGGTCCAATCTTCCTGAAGAACAATTCCGTGCCTGTGGTACCTCTATATTCATATCCCCAACTGAACAACGGGACGTTTTTGCAAATACCGGTGAGTAACATTCAGCGAGAAATTAATTGCGATAGAGATAAATTAAAGGACTTGATATCAAATATACAGCAATAATTGCGTATTTTTTCTTTGTGGTATCTATTATCTTGCGATGTCATGTTTGAAATTAATAAATATATTGATTCGTATAGATATTATGGACTGCGCTTTCGGTAGTTTTGGGTGCTGAACTGAGAGGAGACTTGGTACGAGGCGCACCATGTATCAAGAAACATCATCAATTGTTCTGTCCGACCGCTGGAAACACATATCCAATGTGCGTACTAATAATTCTATTGTTATTTTATAATATACTTTTAGAGACAATGTTATATCTGACTACAGTTAAACAAAACTTATTAATTAATGTGGAGATAGTAAAAAAACTTAAGGGTAAATTGCAATTAATTAACATGTATTGTAATTTAATTAAATCGATTCTTGCAGAGAACGAATAGAACGTTTTATTGATGAAAATAAAGCGTTAATGAAAAGAATGTATGGCGATTTTGAAATGAATCCAGAATATAGATCGAATGAACGCGGACATCGTACTAAGACACAAAGAAAAAGTAGAGAAGCGCGGAAACACGATATTTTGGATGGGGGACCGAGAGATGACTCGCACATAGAGAGCCAGTTTAGCGATGAGTATTTTAGTAAGAGTAGAAATACTAGACAACCTTTCAGAAAAAATCGCAGCACAGAAAGTGGCAGGTTAGAGTCAAATACATCTTTTATTATTATCATTTTATTAAAACAAAAAGTATGAAATTGGTCTTTCAAAATAATAACAATAATAATTATTATTAAATGACGAGCAATTGAGAGCAAAAATCTGTTAATATCCCTGATCAAATCTGCTACCAATCTGTCGACATTCTATTAACATTTTGCTATCTGTTAATATGTACTTTGAAGGGATTTATGCTTTTTATTGTTTGTAATTTATTCTGTTTGTCTTTCTGAACAATCCAGTATTATAAATACTATATTAATTCAGTGATATATAATACATTTTATATAAAACTCATAACATTCCGTTTAAGAATGTTTTCACTTTGTTTAAGAATACTTTCCTTTTTCTTTTTTTTTAATATTATGGAATATGATTATAAATATAATAATTAATATTGCGGTAACGGTTGCAGAATTGACGCGTGCGAATCGAAAGTTGAAATAGTAACTCCTTATTGGGCAAGCAACAGTGCTGGAAAGATTCGCGCAATTGTGAATACTCAACATTTTGAGCAAGCGATACATCAGGAAGTGTGCTCGTAAGTAAAACGACTGTTTCCTGAGTTATCTTATTTCGATTGTTTTACGTGATTTTTCACTATACCGAAGTACATATACGGTTTCTTACAAAATAAATTCTAGGTAAATTATATTTTTTTTCTTTGAAGAAAAACACAAACAAATCGATGCAACAGAGACTGCGGATGCGAGCAAAAGTACAAATGGCACAGATTACTAGCATATGATCCAGACAACGACTGTAAGGGTATATTCATGGACTGGTTCCTATTCCCCTCTTGCTGCGTATGTAGATGCGATCCTGTCAACAATAGCAAGTTCTCATCATCTGGTGGTCGAAGTTGATCTAGAAATTAACATAGAGATTGACAAGCTACGAAATGTGCCATGTAAAATGTAAACTCTGATAACTAATTCAACGCATTTAAACAATAAGGACCGATGACATCCAGTAACTATAGTTATATATTATATATAAATAAAAAGTATGTAATAGGTAGGCACGATCATTTGCATATCGGCTAATTTGAGCGATCTACCTAAACAAATCTTGATTAAAAATTAGAGACATTTTTATAATATTAAAAAATGCATCATCCGACATTTTTTTTAATGAATTAATTAAATTACAAAACGAATTAATCGTAAGAAATATTAACTCGTTAATGTATCTTTCATTCTTTTTCTTAATTGTTTAACTTTTTGAGGGACGAGTTTTTTTTAAGGCCAGCAAAAATTATTCTATTTTTTTATGTTTTAAATATATTTATGTAAATTTAAAATATATGCTAAAACAAATTATATAAAATAAATAAAGTAGCAAAATAATAACGGATAAAAATAATGATAGTGAATTATAAAACGTTTGAGAAATATATCGTACTATAAATGTATGTGAGCATACCGTAAATAGTCAAACATTAGATAAAAATTACAATGTGCCATTATCCCTCAAGAGGTTAATTACGTGTCCTCTTCCACGTGTCTCACGATTCTTTATTTTTCTTTTTTATGTTATAATTAGTGTTGTAAGGGAGAGAAAAACTAAGAATATACCGAATATCTAGGAAGTATCTGATATCCAGAGTTTTATCAAGCTCATTTTAATTATTCAACCGCATAACTGGATATCGGGTACCCAGCAATATTTTCGGTTAAAATTTTATATTGAAAGTTCGCGTCATTGATGCAGAATGGTATTCTTTTTAGCTGAACTTCTTGGATAGTTCATCTCCTCTCTTTTTCTTTTTAAGTTAGGGAGATAAAAATTATTATTGTAATTTTAATCTTCGAGTAGGTATGTGTAATATTTGAACACTCCAGGCATAGTTTTTCTTAAATATTTCTTACTTTGAGATTGGCAACACAAAACTCATCGATTTAGTACCTTTCTATTATTATTTATTACTTGATTAAAGTGATAGTAGTTCATCGATATTGAAGTAGTAAACAATAATAAAGCGTCAAATATGCTAGGGGTACGTAAATGTTCCACCTATTTACTTGTGTTTTCTTTTATATTTATATTTTATCTTCGTTTGAGTTTTTATATAAAAACGTTATTTCTGAAAAGAAAAATAAAAAATATTTCCCAGAAATATATGTAAAAATTCTTATTTATATTATATTATTTTTACATGTCTCTATCTCATTAGGATGTAAACTATCTCATTAGTTAATGTAAACTTAATTATAAAAAATAAATAATCTTATTTTTCACATACAATTATACCAGAAGGTTTGCGGGTTATCGCCGTGTCTTTCTTCGTTATTGATGCCAACGTTCACTTCATCAGGGCAAGGGGTGCGCTGATACAGCGCTGTATGAAGTGAACGGCATGGTTGACGAAACGTTGGCATCAATAATGAAGAAAGACACGGCGATAACCCGCAAACCTTCTGGTATAATTGAAGAAAATAAAATAAATAAAGTGAAAGCCTTAAAAGCGTAATTTGATTTTTCTTTTATTTTTGATTTTTTGTTGTTGGTTTTCGATTCTAGGATGATTCGAGGATCAGAAAGAATCGCGATGTACATACTATGTCGAGCTATATATAGCGCTGAGGTGTATCATTTCTTGCTTATATGACATCATAATTCCAATATGGCCGCTGCGATTAGGAGCCTTAAAAATGTCACTATTATGAACTCCTTATATTTGGAATTTAAAAAATGTACTATACATATAATATCGACATCGATCAAGTTCGGTCGTCACTCTAGCATCCCCTTAATTATGTTTTCATTTCTTTTTCCTTTTCCTATTATTAAGAATCGATCAATAATGATAGCTGTTTAAAAATAATAACGTAGCTATTAAATAAGTTCATGGTGCACTTTCTTCGTCAAAGATAACTAAGAATTTTTCAAAAACACTTCGTTATTCTTTATTTAGGGAGTAAAAAACAATAAATATCGTCTTTGATTATAATAAAGCTCGTGTACGTTAAAGAAAAAAAAAGCTTTTTATATAACAAGGTTTCTTATTGTAACATAAAAGACCTTTTATATATTTATATGTATAGCAAAAATGCAAGGTTTCAAACAAATGTTGAAACAAATTCTTTTTTTAATACAAAAAAAAAGTAATTTGTATTTTTAATATATTTTTTATAGTAATATAAACAGTACAAAGTTTTCATCGATATAGTTTATTTATTTTAAATAAAATAAATAAAATACTTAAATTAAATTTTTATTATATACGCGATGTATATTAAGAATACAATGGAAACTAAGCATTTTGTCTATATTAACAAATTACTATATATATTTATAACTTGTGTTGGCTCTGAAATGCTTCTATAATTATTATTTATTGATTTATTCATTGAAGCCTAACTTGGCTTATTGTTTAATAAATTATATTGTTATTACATGAATATACATATGTATATGCACATATATTTGGTTTTACAGCGTTTTTTTACGCTCTGGCCTCTGGTTCCCAAATGCCAGTTTTAGTCTTTTGCTTTTCACATTTTTCTGAGTTGCAAGTCCATCACCTCAACCCTCATTCTTGAAGAACCAGGGTTTTAGTCGTTCTGTCTGAAGGTCCGAACGACTATGGCAAAGAGATACTCTCCGAGATTTGCCATTGCCTTCCGAGAGGTGGCGATCAAATAAAATTTTATATTGTGGATAAATTTGAACGCTGGATCTTTGGCACAGGGAGCAGTCACGCTACGCTTTACGACATGATCACCACATATTACATGAATAACTTTACATACATATATCGTTTTTTTTTCTTATTTACGAGAAACATTATATTATACGCATTAACTTCGATCTATATGCTATATAAAACATTTTATCGAAGATATCAGATTCAATTCAAGTCGATACGTTGTTAAAAGTGTATGATATGAATGTCTCTTAAAGATCTTAAAACGTTAGAATAGGCAAGGATAGTCGTTTATAGTTATTTATGCTGTAATAATACATACTTATATAAATAAAATTTCCATTTTAAAAGAAAAGGAAGCAATCTAATCTAGATTATCTGTATTTATTCTGTCGTTTATTATATTAAATACACGTATATACACTTTATCCTTCAACGTGAGCACCTTACAGTGTAATTCTAATAAAGTTTCTAGAACATCTGCGAAAACTATTTCTGAAATTTTTATAAAAAGTATTAAAACACGTTGTAACTTGTGCGGCAAGAATTTGTTCAAATTATTAGCCGACTTGTAAACTATGACGAAGACGCTACAGACAGCGCTGGCACCATTATTGACCATTGGCTCGTTCTGGAATTTAGGCTTATTCGAGTATCCTCTTGGACAACTTAGGCCGTATCTCTCTTACCTGTATACCTTGACAATATGGAACTTGTTCACGTATTTCGTTTACTATCCAACTTATATTCATCGTTGGCATAGAATATACGCTTGGATAAATATCATGATTTTGGTCAGCTCAATTTTATTGACACTTGTTAACTTGTTCCGCTTCAAGGTAAGTTTTAAAATGTACTTTCTCAATCCTTAATACTCTCTCTAGAGAGAGAGATAATTTTTTAAATTCCCCTTGACTTTTGTTGAAAGCATTATTAAAGAAATTTTGCTCTCACAATTATAGGCAAATACAAAATATAATGTTTTTGAACAGAATCATTTTTAATGTTTATATTACTACTTATTGTAAACGAAATGTGTTTGGTAAAATTAATATTTGTGTATAGTTATATATACTTTTTTAAACTAACTTTTAACATCATTTTTTTAAATGTTATATTTGAAATACTAATCAAATTTCAATAACTTTTTACCACTTATATTTTATATGTATATACATTGAAATAATTAACGATTTTTATTCGAGTATATATAAAATTGTAATAATTTCTTTTTATATTGCGCATAATTGATTTTTTAAAGGATTTTAAAGAGTGTTTGAATGAACTTTCCATAGTAGACGATACATTGGAAGCACTTGATGTGCCAAAAGAATACCAACGGTTGCATTACTGGATAATTCGAATAATAATCGGATTTATCGTATACATTTTTGCTGATTTAACAACAACTTTTTATATGCTTTATCTTTATGAGATTGACATAAATTTTACTATTATTTTTACAATATTTGTAAACTATTACCCTGTATACGTAACTATTTTAAGTGCTTTGATTTGGGGAACTATCTTTAGGTTAGTATGGTAAATATGTAAACATTTATTTCATAAGCAATTTTTGACAGATAGTATGTTTCAAAATGTTTACAGGCTAAAACACACACACACACACATACTTAAAGATTTTTTTTAATTATTTAAATACTTTATGATAGTTTATTATATTAGGCGTACAAATAAGTTTTAATGCGATTTTAATGAAATTTAATATTTATTCAAAATATCCCCGTCATTATCTATGACCTTTATACATCTTTCGGGCAGCTTGTGAATTCCAGATGCGAAGAAGGTTTTGTCTTTCGATGCAATAAAATTATCCCATTTTGAAAACACTTAACATTATTAAAAACACTTATATTAACTTTTCTTTTTCCCATATAAATGTGATTTTTTATATCTAAGGTCATCTGAAGGACAACGTATCTTATATGGTTGAATTTGTTTTTTTTATGAACTGCATTACTATAACATTAATGAAATATGCTATTCCATTTAAAAAAAATCGCAATGACCTCAAAATCTCAAAAACTATAACCTTGAGAAAAATTTTTCACTTGTCATAATATATGTGTCATCCCCTTCAATCGAACAACTTTTCCCTGTAGTATTTTTTCGTATCATCAAAACGACGGAGATATTTTAAATGGTCGAGTTAGAGGAAACACACCCTGTATAATATATTAAAATAGAAAAAGTAAAAAAAATTCAAATTTATTATAGTCTAACTTTGACTTATTAATGAAATTAAAATGTGCATGTTGTATATATATTTATTTATATGCATTAATTTTAATGATATATAACTAAATTTTCATTCAATTCAGATACATAAGCTCCAGATTTCATCGAATTAATGATGGCCTACATGTATTCTGTTCTAATCTGTCGAAAATTAATACAGATTACAGAAGACAA